CCTAAACACTCTTTCATATATCTCTAGCACTTGTAATCAATCAAATTTTATTTATTATTATAACATTACTTTACCTAAACCCCAAACAACACTAGATAATATTTAGTGGTTCAACGTAATGTTTCCGAGTTCTTAGCCTATTTGTGACCCAATTTTAACAAGTCTTTCTCAACACATCTAAAAACTCTTCATGTATCTCTAGCACTTGTAATAAATAAAATTTATGATATTCTAACATATTAATACCCAAAACAGCACTAGACAAGCCATTAAATGGTTCAACACAATTTTGGGTCCGTGAAACGCCTATTGTATTCCTAGGGAACTTTCACACTAAAGGGATGGCGGCGAGGGTTTCCTCCGCAGAGGTGAACGAAGGGCATTTGCTAGATCTGCTACAGTAAAGCTCTAATTTCATTCAGCGACGGAAGCTCTTTCTTATTCGCTGTTCATTAGGTTTTTGTGACCTCTCTCTTGCGGTTGTGAGTGGGGAAGAAAACTAAAAGGAAGCTCGCTCATCCTTCCGGTGCTCTTCTCAAGATGAACCGTCCCCGGAAGAAAAAATACATGTCTTTAATGGAGGAGCTGAAGGAGCTAAACCTATTGGGTGAAAGTGAAGTCGTCGAAATCCCAGATCTGGAGAATGAAGACCTAATAGAAGAAAACTCCATGAGTGTGATCGTAAGATGTTTAAACCCATCAGCCCACAAGGTAGGAGGTTTGGTAAAAGCTCTACCCTCAATTTGGGGTATGTACGACAGAGTAAAAGGAAGAGGTGTAGGTGAAGACAGGGTCCAGTTCATCTTTGAGAGTGAAGGGGATCTGTATCATGTCCTCTATAGAGGCCCTTGCTTTGTTAATGGATGGATAGTTACATTGGATCAATGGAAACCAAACCCGGGGCCAGATTTCTTGAGAAGCATTCTCTTTTGGATCAGGATAAAAGGTATTCCCATCCATCTTCTGAAGAAGCAGACGGTCTGAAGCATCCTTGAACCTTATAGTAGGATTGATGCAGTGGAGCTACATGCTAAGAATTCTCAATCTCTGGAATACGTGAGAGCGCGAGCCTGGATTAATGCTGATGAACCGCTACAATTCGTTAAAACTACAAAGTTCAAGACAGGGGAAGTGGCCCAGATTGAGTTAGTGTATGAAAAATTACTAAAGGTCTGTTATCTCTGCAAAAGACTAACGCATGATCAAACTCTATGTCCTTTTCAAATACATGAACAATCCCAGAGACAAGGTACAAGAAATTTTAGGAAGAAAGAACCTACGAAATCGAAAGGCAAGAGCAGAGAAGCTCTTCAACCCGAACCAGAGAAACAAAGACAGAGCGTAAGAGACAGACTTCAATGGACAAACGAAGAGGGCAGACCTTCAGGAAGTCAAGCGCACAAAATCTGGATGCTTACAGGTAGAGTGAAAGGCAAAGAAACCAAAGAAACCATGGTCATGGCAGGTGAAAGTAAAGTAGACCTTCGTCATGAAGAAACTATTGTTTCCCAGAGTAAGAAAAGAAGAACCTCTGATAGTGGGGGAAGGATCAATAAGAAGGCAAGAAGAGAGTCTGGGGAAAGCCTAAAGCAATCACCTTCAGTTTTTGAGCGCTTAGGAAATAGCAGCGAGAAGCAACAGAGTGAGGAAAGAAGAGGATCCAATGAAAAATCAGAGAGATCACCCTCAGTCTTTGAGCGCTTAGGATCCCATGGATCCTCCTCTAGCACCCACCTACAGGAAAAGTCTGCTCAGTCTGATCATTCTGCTCATGTGGCAGCTCAATTATCGAATCATTCTTCCTATTCGGTGGCAGCTAATCGTCCTTATTCCTCTGGTGTTTCACCTGCGAATGAAAGTGACAACAACTTGAAAGAAGGGTTGATGGTTAATTCCAACCCTTCGAAATCTATATGAGGATCTTAAGTTGGAACTGTCAGGGGGTGGGGAATACCCCTACAGTTCGACGCCTAAGGGAAATACGTGGTCAGTATTTCCCCGAGGTAATATTCCTGTGTGAGACCAAAAACAAGAGACTTTATCTAGAAAATTTTGTCTGTCACCTTGGGTACTACGATTTACATACAGTGGAACCAATTGGGAAGAGTGGAGATTAGCCTTGATGTGGAAAGAAGATGTCAAAGTTACTGTTCTGGAATCTGATAAAAAAATGATTGATGCTTTAGTTTCTTGGCAGGACAAACAATTCTTTCTTACTTGTGTGTACGGTGAACCAGTCCAAAATGAAAGAGGAAGCTTATGGGAGCGACTTTCAAGGAAGGGCTTGAGTAGGAATCAACCCTGGATGATGACAGGTGATTTTAACGAACTGGTAGATCCTAATGAAAAATGTGGAGGCCCAGTAAGAAGAGAAGCAACATGCTTGGAATTCAGACATATGTTAAATGCTTGTGGGCTCTGGGAAGTCAAACATGTAGGATACCAATTCTCATGGTTTGGAAACAGAAATAATGAATTGGTTCAGTGCAGATTGGATAGAACTGTGGCAAACCAAGCCTGGTTAGAGTTGTTTCCACAAGCTCAAGCTACCTACCTCCAAAAGATATGCTCAGATCACAGCCCCCTAATCAACAGCTTAATCGGAATGCAAAGGAAGGTTTGGGCTGGTTTTAAGTATGATAAAAGGTGGACACAAAGAGAAGGCTTTACGGAACTTCTAAGCCAGTTCTGGAAGCACAATTCAAACATACCAGGAGAGTTGCTAATGGAGAAGCTGGCCAAATGCAGAAAAGTGATTTCTCGATGGAAAAGACAAGTCAAGCCTAGCTCCGCCTTCAGAATTCAAGAGCTTCAATTCCAAATAGACGCAGCAACAAGGCAACTTCCTTTTAACCCGCAGCTCTTAAAGGACCTAAGAAAATCCCTTAATCAAGAGTACTACCAAGAAGAACAATTCTGGAGTCAAAAGAGCAGATTAACATGGGCCCAAGACGGAGACAAAAATACCAAGTTCTTCCATGCAGCTACGAAAAGTAGAAGAGAGCAGAATAAAATCCATAAGCTTGTGGATGATGAAGGGAAGGAATGGTTTTCTGAGGTACATCTAGGAAAAGTAGCTGAAAACTACTTTCGAAAGCTTTTCACCTCAGAGGATGTGGGATATCGTCTAAGAGAAATGGATGAGGTCTCGCCGGTTGTATCAAACCAGATGAATGATGCCTTGCTAGCACCTGTATCAATAGAAGAGGTTAAAAAAGCAGTCTTTGACATCAACCCCAACAAATGTCCGGGCCCTGATGGTATGACGGGATACCTTTACCAACAATTCTGGGAAAGCATGGGTACGCAGGTGACTGCTATGGTTCAACAATTTTTCAGTTCTAACTGCATTGAGAAAGAGATGAACAGAACAAATATATGCCTCATACCAAAAAAGCTCAAAGCTGAAAGGTTAGTAGACTTCAGACCCATAAGTCTCTGCAATGTCAGCTATAAAATCATTGGGAAGCTACTAGCATCAAGATTGAAGAAGATAATGCCACAAGTGATCTCAGAAACTCAAGCAGCTTTTGTGGAGGGCAGATTGATAAGTGATAATATTTTGGTGGCTCATGAACTCCTCCATGCTCTAAGCTCCAATAACAAGTGTTCTGAGGAATTCATTGCAGTAAAAACTGACATCTCTAAGGCCTACGACAGGGTAGAATGGTCATTCTTGGAAGGTACTCTGAAGGCTTTGGGTTTTCATGACAAATTTGTTGAAATGCTTATGGAATGTGTCAAATCTGTGAGATACCAAGTTTTGATCAATGGAACCCCTCATGGAGAGATAATACCCACTAGAGGACTGCGGCAAGGAGATCCCCTCTCCCCTTACTTGTTTGTTATGTGCACAGAAATGCTAATCAAAATGCTAATGTTAGCTGAAGCAAAAGGATGGTTATCTGGGCTGAAAGTGGCAAGAGGAGCACCACCAATTACTCATCTTCTATTTGCAGATGATAGCATGTTTTATTGTAAAGAGACGGATGAGGAGCTGAGCCACCTTATAAGGATAGTGGAAGAATACAGCCTTGCCTCAGGACAACGGGTCAACTATCAAAAGTCCAGCATCACCTTTGGGAAGAATATCCCAGAGAGCACAGGGAAGGACATTAAAGAGAGGCTGGGTATAGAGCAAGAAGGAGGACAAGGGGTCTATTTAGGGCTGCCAAAATCGTTTAAAGGATCGAAAGTAACAACCTTACATTATATTCGAGAAAGGCTGAGAACTAAAGTGACTAGCTGGCAAACTAACTACCTATCTCCGGGTGGGAAAGAGGTTCTATTAAAGGCGGTGGCAATGGCGCTGCCCACCTATACTATGTCCTGCTTTAAACTCCCTGCAACTGTCTGTCAACAAATAACGTCAGTGCTTGCTGAATTCTGGTGGAGGAATAAGACATATAAAAGAGGAATGCACTGGAAATCTTGGGACTATATGAGCAGATCAAAAGCTGAAGGGGGTCTGGGATTTAGAGACATCGAAGCTTTTAATATAGAAATGCTTGGAAAGCAGCTCTGGAGAATAATTACTAAGAAGGATTCTCTCTTATCCCAGGTTTATAAAAGTAGGTATTTCAGCAAAATCGATCCGTTATATGCTCCGCTTGGATCTAGACCGTCATATGCTTGGCAAAGCATCCATGAAGCTCAAGAGCTAATTAGACAAGGTATAAGAGTAGTAATTGGAAATGGAGCAACTACCGATATTTGGCAAGACCTCTAGATCATGTCAAAACCTGCAAAGGGAATTCAATTGCTGAAACACGTCCCTCCTGAATTTCATCACAAAGTGTCATCCCTTAGACTAGTTAAAGATCTTATGCTTGATGACAGAAGAGAATGGAATCATGCAATGCTCTCGTTGATATTTCCCTTAGAGATTGTAAGGCAAATTAACCAGATCAGACCAGGGGGAATTACTACAAAAGACAGTTTGGCTTGGGACTATACAAAGGATGGACACTACTCAGTTAAGTCTGGATATTGGGTGCTCATGGAGATCATAAAGAAAAGAATAATGCCTCAGGAAGTAATATATCCCAGCTTGAATCCTATCTATGAACAAATTTGGAAGTCTGATGCCTCTCCCAAGGTACGTCACTTTCTATGGAGGTGCCTAAGCAATAGCGTTTCAGTCGCAGGGAATATGAAGCACCGCCATCTGACAAAGGATGGATCATGTGTTCGTTGTCCATCATGTGAAGAAACTGTTAATCATCTCTTATTCCAATGTTCTTATGCTCGGGTAGTTTGGGCTATATCGCCAATTCCAGCTCCGCCAGGCGGAGATAGGTCGGATTCTTTATACTACAACTTGCACAGAGCTTTAAACGTAGCTTCCCTTTATCCCCAGCTGGGAAATGATGGCAACCTTACCCCATGGTTACTTTGGACGTTGTGGAAGAGCCGAAATGATTATATTTTCAAGGGAAAGGATTACGACATGCAAGCGGTGATTAGAAGAGCAAGAGAAGATGAAGAGGAATGGAGATTGAGTAAGGAAAGGCAACCCCAACAAATCCAAATGCAAAGACCAAATTCACAAAGGACTAAATGGAACCCTCCACCTCAAGGTTGGGTGAAATGTAATACCGATGGTGCTTGGAATATAGAACATGAAAAGTGTGGTTTGGGCTGGATTCTTAGAAACCACGACAAGGAGGTCCTTTGGATTGGTGCAAGGGCTCTGCCTAGAGTAAAGACAGTGCTGGAGGTTGAGATGGAAGGCCTTAGATGGGCAATACTATCTTTGATAAGACTAAACTACCGGAATGTAATATTCGAAACCGACTCTCAACAACTTGTGCCACTGATCAGAGATGAAACAGAGAAGCGCCAGCTATGTCCTGTTATCAGTGATATCAAGCATCTGCTCCAGCAGTTTGAGGAGAAAAAAATTGTTTTTACGTATCGAGAAGGGAATGGAGTGGCGGACAGAATTGCAAACGAGTCTATTTTGTTTTCAAATTATGATTCCC